AACTAAATGAGTAGACAATTCAGTAATGTCCAACAGATAACTAAAATTCAAATTTTATTTTTCCATATGTATCGGACAATTTTTTTTCTGACAAGGCTTTACTGAAAGATGAATCGCAAATGGAAGCCCTGTAAGAATGTTTATACGAATTGTACATGACATATTTTAAGCGTCACTAAGTACACATTGAATACTTTGTAAGTATATAGGCATATCAACATGCAAGTGTCATGTACCTAACATTACAATATGCATTTTGTTTTTTGAAAATGTTATTGATAACAGTAGATTCAATAACTGTGCAATATGCTTGATTTTGATGGATCTTCTTTACAGCATATAATTTTTTATGCTGTCAGAAATATACCCTTCCAACAGTTATGAATTTCATATCATATAAATAGAACATTTTATTTTTGAAGCTACATTACTGGGAACACCTGCATTTCTTGAGTAAAATTTTCAGAGATAAGTCTTTAAATTCTTTTTAACATGGCAGACTTGTTCCAATGTTGGTTGTATTGAAATATTTATGATAAAAATGGAGCTTTCTTGAGGGAATATTTTTTGGTTGAATGAAAAGCAAAACAACCAATTCACAAACATTGATGTGAACTAAATATGAAGAAAATGGGTTAGTAATCCCAAACTCATACATCCTTGGGTTACTACTTAACTGCATCATTGAATCTACAATAGGTACAACAGGTACAGTGGAATAAATTTGTAAGATTAAAATTTTATACATTTATAAGGAGGAAGAGTACTCATTTTGAAAAATGTCTAAATTATTCTTCTATATATGAGAATCCTTCAATACATTAGAAACACAGAGAAAAGCAAAAAGAGATAATTCAGTTATATTTCATAGTTTTTTTCTAACCAACTGGTAAACACTGCTTTCAATCATCAAATATTTTATTGCATATAACTTTCACTATCAGCAAATATAAAGAGAAAAGTGGCTACTAGTATCATGTACAAAGAAAAGCATCTGAAGAAAGAAAACATCTGAGGTTTGCCAGTACTGTGTAGAGAGTGTACTGTGGCATTGCAGACCGCACTTGGAAGTCCGTGTAGGAATCACTGCTGTTCTGACCCTGGATGTAGGAAAAGTGCTTAAGTGCTGAGCCCTGGTAGGTTTTCCTTTTGCCCCTGCAATCTTCAAATATCTTTTAATTTTTCTTCTTTTGAAATATACAGCATATTTCATAGGGGGAAAATAGTGCGTTTTTTTTGTTTGTTTTTTTTACATCTTTTTCACACTTGGGCTCATTCTCTCCAAAATAACCATACATTTCTTGTAACTCGCATATACATATATATGTGTGTGTATATATATATACACACACACATATATGGAAGAGATTATAAAGATTAGATTAAATATTATTTATAACATAACCACATAACATAGAAACATCTTTAACTTCAAGCATATATTATAGATTTAACATCATAATTTGAGATTTTTTTCTTGTATCTTTTTTTTTTTTCCTAGAGGAAGATCTGCTTTTAAAATGTAACTTCCTTTTAGAATAATTAAATTACATCATTTGAAAAATTCATATGTCTATGCAGACAAAATAAAGTGGACATTTGTGGCAGTACTTTGCATTCATTATTTAGAGATTATTTGTTAATAAGGAGGCAGTCTTAAATGCTTAAATTTTTGCCTCACATAGATAACACTGCTTGGGAAAATAAACTATATTTATAATTTTTACTTAAAAGCACAGCATTAATTCATAAGAAATCATATTTTAAATATTAAATAAATAGATTGAACTGCAAAGTGTTGCCGCTTAAATTATTTTTTTAATCAACACAATCATATTACATTGAAATATTAAATCGGCATGAGAAGAGCTATCCTTATAAAGTCACAATACTTTGCCTACAGAAAAAATTAATGATAGAAAGGGAAAAACAAATGCAGATCCATACACTATTGAATACACTAAAACAAGTTGGCTTTTGAGAATTCCCAGGGTGTGGGCAGCAGACGTTATGACAGCCCCCAAAGAGTACTTCTGGGATGTCTTGTAAATAATTATTTCTTCTATTTATATTGAAGTATCATAGCCCATGTTAAAAGTGAGAGGTAGAAGGATTATTGTAAGTATGCATGGCAGAGAACTTACCAGCTATCCAATAACTATTGCATTCAATATTAATAATGCTGATGAGTTTAGAACCCATTCTTACATGTTGTCCCCTTTAGACCTGTTTAGAATCTTGCTACTTTCAATCCATTGCCTTTGGAAGGGTATAAATGCAAAGGGTATGTTTGGGTAGAAAGGGAGAGAAAGGAAAAAAAAAAATAGAAAAAAGAAAATACAAAAAAAATTTTGCTAAGAAATAATGACTTTACGTTAAAGGTACCTGTATATTTGGTTGAATAAATTTGTACTTATAAGAGTGCCACAATTCATTAAAACATACACACATTTCAAAGACGTTTAAGAATTCTACATTGAATTGGATATAAACCAAAGTTTCTTTCTCTCCAGGAAGGCTAAAAACTAGGCCAAATAATTTTATTGTGTCACGTAAATGATTAAGAAAGAAAAACTTAACATTTTGCTTAGTCAGTTGTATTTTTAATTAATGATTTAGTATGTGGGAAGTGAAGATTAGCAACCTCTTGGATCTTGTTGAAGAATTCTTTAAAATCCCTTTGCATTAACTATCCAGCAATAGAATTGCAGATATTGCACTGAGTATATTTCAATATTGCCAGTGTATATTTCAAAAGAAATTCTATTATCTACACTAAGATTTCCTCTTTCCCAATATTCAAAATGCATATTATAATTACATGGGTTTCGAACATCCATACACAGCAAGTACAAGATACTTACATGTACGTACACTGTAGTTACCTATATTTTGCATAGTTTTTAGTGTGTACTTTGTGCCACTTAATAAAAAGCATTACTCAGTAATTGTCTTTAGGTGTTTCTTTTACTTCAGCTGTAGTTGCCAGTTGTTTTACGTTTGTTTTGTTTTGTATATTTAACACAGGTTACATTTGCAAAGGGGGATACTATTGGGCATTTGTAGAAGGCTCTAATTAGTAATATGGCCAGGAAGTTTCAGTAGGATATGAGGTTTTTCATTTTCTCCACAATTAAAAACCTAATGTGACATTTTATATTTATCGTTCATTAAATTATCCTTTAAGTCCAAAGAAAAGGGAAGAGTATTTTAAACGTTCCCCTTGGTAACACTTTGCAATAAGTGGCACTATATTACACGACAACTGCTATATTACATGGAAGAACCGTCACGTCACAGCCGCTGTACATGTGCCTATGTGGAATCTCAATGCTGTTACAACCATGAGGAAAGAATTACAAGTGAACTTGTCCTTTTAATTGAGATATTTATATATTTTTACAAAAAAATAAAAGTAAATGAGGTGTTAGCTTCTTTGCCATATTTAGGAAAGTTAGTTTTCTTTCTCTATTTTTTATTTTAATTGTGGGGTTTCAATGCAAGATTAAGCATCTTGAATCAATATGAGATCATCCAGTTTCTAGATTAAACGCCAATATCAGGTTCCTTAAACTGCTTCTTGAATTCTCTGGTAAAAGAAAACAAGTTGAAATCAATCAGTCTCTCTCTGTCTCTCTCTGTCTCTCTCTCTCTTGCTCACACACACACACACACACACACACACGCACACACACACACAGACGCACACACACCCCTCAATGCTCTGCTCACGCTCACTGTCTTTGCTCTTGCACTCACAGACTTTCCTTTTTCTTCCTAATTTTGATAATTGTTCTATCTAGGACACTCGAAAACAGTAAAAACAAAAAGAAAAAAAAATGCTCCTTACAGTTTTTTGATGAAGAACAATTTACACTGTAAACAGTACACTGGCAGAGAATAGCTACTTTTGGTAAAAAGTAATGTCCCATGTTCTACGAGGGGCATGTGTGTCCGTGTGTCTGACCGCTCCTTCCACCGCGTCCGCAGCTACGGTGCTCACTGAGCGGAGACGGGATTTGGCTCTGGGTGTGCAAGCGTGCGTGTTTCAGACACTGCAGCTGACATGGTTCCATTTAAAAATGCTATTTCATTTTATTCTGAAATTTATAGAAATAAGCAGCTTTTACATTTTATTGTTTTTGTTTGGTAGAAATAAAATAATTTTTAGGAATGGGAATAATATGATTCCATTGCTATTTTTTTCAGTAACTAAAAATGATACCTAATTCAAATCTATCTATTTTAACTGACAAAATATTTGATTGCAGCCCACATATCATAATATACCAGTTAGTTTCTTTTTAAGGAGTTCTAATGAGGTTTTATATTACTCTGAAGGGTTAAAGAATAAAAAAAATCTTGAAATGCAACCAATTTTGGATTTCTAATTTTACAGTGTTATAAATAATGATCGAGTTATTTAGGAAACGATTTAGCAGTTGGAGCAAAGTAGAATATAGACTAAATGAAGAGAGATGTAAATGCATCAATGGAGAGTAGCAATTTTGTAAGTGCATCCTGAAATTAGGCTTTAAATAGTAATTGATGAGGCAGTTTATACAACTTACTTCTGTAATAAGAACCTTTCCATTTGTCCTAACAGGATGAATTTTGCCTTGTGGAGTCTTTCTAAAGATTATGCATCGAAAGATATGAACAGTTTACAAACCTATTCTAGTTTCAATGTGTCTAGTAGCACCTACCTGATCCTCTCAAACTACCATACTATAGTAACATATTATTGCATTTTTCCACAGATGGTATGAATTGAACTGTAAAAACAAGCATGCAATCACATCAATGCAGACTTATTTCCTTAAAATGTCATACTGTATATGATTTATTATGTTAACACTCAACCACATCATATTATTTATGTTCTGTATATTCTGAAAAAGTGCTGCTTGACTGACATCATCCTTTTCTTTTGTAAGAAATCAACAAGATAAATGCTTCAACAATTAAAAAAAAAGCAATTTAAAACTCTAACGCCTTTAAAAGATTTAAACTTTTATGATAAATAATCTAAGATACAGCACCCCTGTCTTTCATCGGCTATGAACACATGATGTCGTACTCAAACATTCTCACTTCCCCAAAATAAATTCCGAGAAATTATCTTCAAAACCATAGGCCATCATGCTTTGACATCACAAGTATAGCTACCATATCGTCATATTTGTTTTCTTCTTAAAGGTGCAATGCTTGTGAATGGGAAAATAATTTTTATCTAACTGGATTTTTAAATCTTTAGCATATAATAAGTGTAATGAGAACTAATCTAACAACATTGTATTTTACTAGAAGAAATAATATGACTTTAGATGGACTCTGTCATATTTAAGAATACAGCATTTCTTAATGGTTTAAGTACACCAAAATTTCAGAAATAATCCAGAGAAAGAGACTTTCACCTTGGGGGTAAAAGCATGGCAGAAATTCTCTATCACTCACTGTTTCATAAGTTTGTACCTCACAAAATGCATAGACAGGAATTTAATATAAAGAATTAGTTCATTTATACAGAAAACATATCTTAAACACTTCTTTTTGGCAAACCAACATAGGTAAGCAGCTCTGGAACTGCCAAATTAAAATTTGTAAATTTTTAGCAAACTAAGAGTTTATTTTTAGGTTATTATACTATTGTGGTTGTAATTTAAAACCTGAGGCTGTGCACTGGTTGTTAGCTTAAAATTACCTTTCCTTATAACATTGTGCTTCCATTGTATAACAAATAAAAATTAACAGGAACTAGAAAAATTTGTTGTTGAACAGTGCTAGGACATACAGACAAAATACTAATACATGTTATCTACTTATAATATTGGTTTAAGTAATATCTAAAGGGATATAATGGACATTAGAAAATGCTTACTTATGATTGAATTACCTACAGCCAAAAAAGTTAAATATGTATCAAATAATGTTTAATTGGATTTATTATATGCACTATATACAGATACTAAAATGTTTCAAAATTGTGCCCTATGGATACTTCGATTTTGCTTAGGAAGGTGAGTCGTTATGGAGCAAATAAATTACAGAATCAAATCAGATAAATGAATGAAATTTTTGTGATTCCCGAAGCAGTAAAATGTTTGTAACGGTTTATTGGTAAATGAAGCTAAAATAACCTAATGGTGAGAGCTGTATAATTATATAAGATACTATGACATGATTACAATTCATAGACATGGCTCCTGTATCAAATACTGTATTTTTAAATAGCAAATTGATACAGCTTTACCAGTATATCACAAACAGTCCAGAATCTATACTACAGTTTTCAGTTTGTGTTTTCTAGGGCATATGTTTCCGAACATGTCTTTGAAGAGAGACATGTAGAAAATATTGTCTGTAAACCTCTAATGTCTCATTAAACTTAAGCACATTAGCTCTTTACCTAATCCTGTCTCTTGTGAAAGCTGTCCAATGGCAAACTAAGTCCATGATTTAAAGGGGGTGAAAAATGAGGGGGGAAAACCAACTCTGCATACATTTTTTCAATGTATAAAAACAATTCAATACCATGATCCAAGGAGATGATTAACATTGTTAAGGCTGTATATTCAAGCACTGTATGTTAAAAGAGCAATGGTGTGGAATTTAGGCAGTAAGAAATGTCCTGCATTATGGATGGTACAGTAATTAAAGAATGATGCTTTCGACAGCTGGTTGCTGGTATACACTGGCTACTGATAGCAGTACGGTATGGAAGTTAATAAAGGTAGCAGAGGATGGTAGAAATGAATTCTGAAAGATGACAGCCAGTTTTCTCCAGCAGCCAGCCTGGTGAGCAAAACTCAGAATCTTGGCCTGCGTTTTAAATGAAATACTCTTTTTTCTCTTCAGCATTGACTTGGCTGCCTTCAGCATTGATAATGGCTGTGTCAGCATCCGGTGCATCTTCAGCTCCTTTAGCTTCATTTGTTAAATATGTTCCTGTTGGTATTGGAAGGAAAATATGTTAGTTCTGGGAGACTGGTAAACAGCCAGCATTAAAGCTGCATTCGTTTAGGAAGGAACTTGGGCCAGATTTCTTATATGTTGGGACATATGTGAGGTGTAATAAACCTCACAATTCACCCTTCTAAATTTGCACACTTTCTTTCAGCTTTTAGGTAAATGTTGTAGATGAAGCCGTGACCAGGTTAACTGGAGGTAACAGCCAAACTGGAGCGGGGAATGAGTGCTCTGATTTCTTTAATGATGGATACGGACGACGTGATCCACGCAGCTGTGGCAATCAGGGCCCTTTGTTAAGATGTTGGTAATGATCACATCAACTGTGTCACCGTTCCTTTTGGTAACTCCACTTAAAAGTAGATTATATCAATAGTTTGCTACCTAGCCCATTAGAAAAACACACATTTTCCTCACTAACATGGCCACATGTGTGTCCATAAACCTACAAACAAAAACAGTGACCAACTGCTTAATGTTATAGTTGAATTTCAGTTCTAGAAATAAATTACAAATTTGCTTCCGTTTTCTCCCCCTTAAACCAGTGACCTACTCTGTGATCTTTGGCTATTGGCTAAACATTATTTAGCTAAGCCAACTTAACTTTATTTATTTTTAAATGTTTTTATTATTGATTTTAGAGAGAGAGGAAGGGAGAGGGAGAGAGACCCACACACATCTATGCAAGAGGGTGACATGGATGGGCTGTCTCTTGCATGCCCCCTACTGGGGATCAAGCCACAACCGGGGGAACCAAACCAAGGACATCTTGGTGCATGGGATGAAGCTCAACCAACTGAATCACGCTGGCCACGGATAAATCAACTTAACTTTAAAGTTGAGTAAAATAATCAAGTATTCCTTGAAATACTTTAGTATTTAGATCTCTCTCTCTCTCCCCCTCTCTCCCTCTCC